TTAAAGGTTACATTGAAATACCAATACAACATTTTCTTAGGTGTGAAGTACATTATCGCTTGTGCTTTGTTGGTGTTGCTTTTTATATATATTTTTTATCATTGGTCTTTAATATTCTTTGTGTTAAAGTCCTAATCTTTTATGGGTATTTTAAATTTTGTTTAGGTAGATTTTTCACTTTGTAGGTTGAAAATTTAGGGGCGTCAGCATATGCATGTATATGTCGCCCACTACTAATTCTGTTTTAATAATAAACTAGATTTTGACCCGCGCAACCGCGCGGGTGTTTGTTTTTGTTTATAGTTATTTATATAAACATTTTGTTTTCTCTTGTAAATTGGTATATATTATAGTAATCACGTATTTACGATATGTATAGTAAATGTTTTTCAAACATAATAATATTATATAATAAGTGTTTTAATCAAATAGATTGTTTCAAATTTTTTATATTATACATGTTTTTCAAACATGTGTTTGTTTCTTTTTCTATATTTTATTATTTGTTAGATTAGTATTTCATTTTTAGATAAAGTAATATAAATAGAGCTTGATTAAATATTAGTGTAATTTAATTTGCAAAGATAATAAAAACTTCGAAGAAAATTTTGCTAAAAACTAAACTTATAGCTTCAAAAATTAATATTATAAAGAATTTTATTAAAAAGGAATTTTTTAAACAATTTCTTTTTTTTTAAAAACAATATAACTTTAAAAATTTACATTGAAATAAATTTATCTAATATATATAGCGTGTAAATTTTGTTAGGATATATAAATATTTCATATTACTAATTTGTGATTTTGTTAATATATTGTGGATGCATTTAAGTATTATTGACATATTTCCTTATAAATAATAGAAGATTCCTAAACTTATATCTATTGACATATTTTGCGTGACTAAGTTGGAAGGTGTGGGGTAATTTACCAAAACCAAATTGTTAAGTGTATTATAAGATATAATAATGATAAGATTATTAGAGAGTTAATGTAACATAACTTTCTAGTAATAGTCCATTTTTTTAAAAATCACACATGAAATCAAGTCATGACTTCTGTTTTAATATATAAGATAATGATATATTATTAAAAAATTCTCTTAAAGTATTATTTAGGATTTTATTATTTGCTGGGAAAAACTCTTGTACGTTAGTGAAATATAGAGAAAACCCTTCATCTCGTCCATGCATTTCTCAGGATTCAAATGAAATGTAATCTGACAAAATTACATTGGCTGATGACTCTTTCAAGAGTAGTTTGTTTCCAACCATTTTCCAGTTTTTGGAAGCATTTTTCACACAAATCTAGCATGTAATATAAACAAATGTATTAGTAAACAAATAAAAATGAAAAAATGACATATTAAGGTGTGGTAAAACTAAATTGCATCAACTAGGAAGTAGCAAAAGAAAAAGAATATGAACTTGGTGTCAAGATGGTTGCAAACACAATTCAAGTAGACAGTCGTGTCATGTTTTATATCTTAACATTGACACCATTGTTTTATGATGCAATAAAAATAACGAATGCATATACAAAAAAAAAATTGATCTTCAAAGACTTTATACTTTATATTGCGACTTGAGCTTATTGAAAAAATGTAACTATTATTAACAGTATATATCTTAGGGATTCCTATTTCTTATATAGCAATAACAATATGTATAAACAAAACTTTCAATGCCGAGAAAGATATATTGGTGTAGAGGACCTTGATATAAACATATTGCTTACTTAATTGGCTAACTTTCTAAAATTTCATATCCAACCTATACTAAGCTGTCCATAATTAACCTTTTGTATGATTTCAAATATTTAGAAAAAGTTTTTTTAATGTCAATAATAATACAATAAAATATTAATTTTAGGTAGCGATACTAAAGAAAAACCAAAGATGCTTTGTTCCTTCTCTTTTTATGGCTGTCTCAATGTGAATTTTAATAGAAGCTTTGATCGCCTTTTGTGAATACGACATCACTAATACCTTCATAATTGCCTCTGATCTCCTCCATGCTCTTAGATAAATCATTAATGCAATATTGGCTTCCTTCCTCGTACTGAGTCATGAACTAATCGTTGAACTTCTTGAAACTATCCAGGATCTCCGGCATCTCTTCTTCCACAGGCAAGATCGTTGTCCTCAAAGGGAACACACTGTCACCCAAAAAGAACCGAGTTATTAAGTAAGAAGATACATCAGAAAATAAGAACCAAGTTAAGCTCTTTAGTTATTTTTTTACCCTTCTTTCTGTCCAATTCCAGAGCCAGGATTGTGGAAATTCCTCTGGCTTCTAAGAGCTTGAGACAGTAGAAAACGTCTGGCACTTTTCCTGCTTGCTTCGCAGCTTGGAGAGCTCCAGGTGGCAACCATATTTGTGGAATGAATACATTGCACCTAATATATAATACACACCAGAATCAAAAAACGGCAACCAATGTCCTAATTATTATGCTTCATTTTCTCTTTTCTTACATTCTGTGAAATTGCATACAACGTTCTTGCAGCTGTTGAAACCATTAGTCATGATCCTAGCTCTTCTTCTCAAAGATTCAAGAATCCCCTTGATAGACAAATGTACATAATGATTCATTCCATGGATGATGATTATCATGAGTGCTTAAGTGTCTTTTATGTAAATTACCTTTCACGGGTGAATTGGTCATATGAGATGTCTCCAGGCTATGGAGGACTAACCATAAAGCCCATCTGCACCATTCACAACACTCTCAGAACATAGGTTGCATGGAAACTTCGTTTAAGGTCTGTTTCATGTTCCGGAAACGTTTCGGAATCGGAGTCTCTTGGAAACTCGAGGAAAATCTTTGAAAACACGTTTCTTGAAATTTTCATTTTGGAAACACGATGGAAACTTGTGTTTCTGATTTGGAAACTCGCGATTCTAATTTACAAACTCACGATTCTAATTAGAAACGCAAAAAAATAACTATTTGACATTTGATGTTAATGATTACATATTTATTATTTTATATTTTAATATTATTTTTTGATATTTGTTATCATTTTAGTTTAATGATTTGATTTGTAATGAAGTCGCTTCATAGTTTTATCGAATGATAACAAGTGTTAATTTTATATTTATTGATTATAATTTTAATAAAATGTACAAAAAAAATACTTATATTATTTAATTTTTTCTCTTAGATAAATCAAACAAAAAAAGCTTACATGTTGAGTAATCATACATATATGTACATACATACATATATATATATAATAGACATTTCTAAAACGTTTCCATTTCTATTTTTTTTTAAATCATGTTTCCACGTTTCGAAACGTTCATTTCCACGTATTTGTTTACGATTCCATGCAACCAAAATCAGAACCTACAGATGATTTTCTACAAAATTGAGTGGATAAGAGTAACAAAAGTTTTCACAGACAATTATATCATCCGTAGAAACATATCATGAATCAGAAACATCAAGCTTAGACGATGAGTTCCATAGCCAAAAATTGTGTACCTTGGCGAGATTGACTTAGAAGAACAATGGTTTCTTCATGTTGGAAACCTGATTTCGATTTTCTGAGTATCACCATGAAATATATGCTGTTCATCAATAAGAAAAGGATAAAATTTTAACTAACGCAAGGGAGTTGAGATGATGAGAAGAATTAACGCAAGCGAGTTGAGATGATGAGAAGAATCAGAAAAGTCGTCGTTGCAGGGAGATGAGAGATGACTTTTGTGAAGCCGCATTGGGGTTATGTTTTGTGTTGGGCCGGTTTGTTGCTGAAGCTCAAAAATTGCAGGCCCAAATCGAATCTGTCCTACGTGGACTTAATGACGTGGCGCCTACGTAGCACCCTTGAAAGGGAGTGAAACACAAAAATATATAATAGATATTACATTATAAAAATAAGAAACATATAATTTTCTTACACAAACTTTTTATTATATTTGTATAAACATATATATATTATCAAATTAATTGTAAGTGATCAACAAATACAAAACTAAAGCAACACTAATCAAAAATATTTTTGATAGTTACATGATTAAAGTTTTATTTAAATTTATCTTTTCATCAAGTTACTTAACAAATTGATTTTTCCAATTTAACATATTTTAACTAAAACAACCAAAATCAAATATTTATTAAAATTTATATCGTAAATATATCTATATATATATATATATTTAAAGCTATAATAAGACATATATTCAAAATATATACATTAAATATAATATAATTAAATTTTATTTTGTTAAAATTTACGTAAAATCAAATTGAAATAGTTAAACCAAATCAAAAGAAATAAGATTACAAAATACGTGTATGATTTTTTTTTAGAACCATTAAAGTTAAGCTATTAAATAATAATGTTCAAATGTAAATTAGAAAAAAAATAAAAGTATTATGTCTGAGCATTACGTAGGAAAACTCCTAGTAATTTGTATACATAATATTTATTCCGCGCAATATGTGGATTTTAACCTGGTAGAGAAGATACTATGGAACACGAGTCAAACTAATGTAACTTGGATAATGAAAGAAAAACTCCCTCAAAATCAGAATCAATTAGTCAAATAATTCTACTTTAAATAGAATAGTAGTAGTATATCAACAGTAAAAGGAAAGCCATTGGAATTTAGTTAAAGAAAATAAAGTCCACAAGAAATAAATTAATATTTGTATCTTATTTAATAATTTAATACAAATTTAATCAAAAATATAAAAATTATTAGAAACTTGTAATATTAAGTATTTTGTATTAAGTAGTCACAAATTAAGTAGTCAATTTATCCTATCAAATAGTCACATATTTAGCGGCAACAAAATAAACCCAATAAACCAATATATAGTATTAAGTTGTCACAAATAGATATATAAACTAGAGTAGATATGATTGTTGTGAAATTTGTGTTGCTAGTTTGTACAATGTGTTTTAATCATCTGTTTTGAATTCTGCTTTGTACTAATTTCATGAAACTTTTGTTGGTGGAGAAAGAACAACAAAATATGAAGTTTTGCAACTACTTCACTATGACAAATTCTTGCTGCACGATTTAATAGGTGTATTAAAAAATTCATTACATTCTCAAAATATCACAGCACATATATATAAATATATATATACATATATATATATATATAACAAATTACAGTTTTTATATATAGCTTCATGAACTATTAACTTTATTTAGTCAAAAAGAAAACTATGAACTTGTTAAGCTTCCTCGTTGGAAGCGCTGCTAATTGTTGTGTACGAAGAGGGAGTCTTTAATCAGAAGACTCTGAAGGAATCCGATCATCTGTGTATGTAAAACTGATGTTAGTGACCATGCATAACTAATACATTTACAATCAACAACAATTTTGTGGATGAGATGGTCAAAAATGTAAAATATACCAAACATAAGGCGTTGCATAGAAGACTAAATCCAGGGAAATAGAACGGTGCATTGTCGGAGAGAAACAATGCTATATCAAACAAAAATCATTTACTTGTTAGAGGTCTTCATTTGAACTTAGTAATGAATGGTATCAAAAGTCCACGATCTCATCTGTTCACGTACCTGTAATTGGACTATATACAAATGGAGCCACGACTTCTGCAAATGACTTGACTGCATATATGCATCCCTGGACCTTCCCCTGAAAGAATATGGAAATATGTAACAAATACCATCTAGAAGCTGTGTAAGTTTAACAAGATCTTTTGTGAGAAAGATAAAAGATTTATGTGAGATCTTATGTGTATTTTTTTCTTTCAAATGTGAAAGCATGCAGAATATCATGTAAAACTCATGTTTTTTTTTTTGTTTTGGACAACTCTCATATGTATTTTCTTTACAACTGTGAAAGTACTATTAAAACGGAAGTTATATCCTATAGCAACAAAAGCACGTACGTTATCATGATTCTATCATTCTGAAATTTATTTTTGATAGAAAAAAAAGTCTAATAGGTGGAGACTTCCTAAGAAATCTACTATGGCTACTAAGTGGACTTCTGAGGAAGTTTACTTCATAATTTGATCAATAATTTTACGTTAAAACATATAAAAATAATTTATGTAGAAGTTATTATTAATCGTCAAATATGAACCAATATGAGCTATATAACTAAAATTTAATTTATATAGAACAATTTGAAAGAATATATATTGGTCTGCTAACCATCTTCGTATAATGTTTATGGTTTGGTAACAATAGGTTAATAGATATATGTATTTCCTCCGCGTCAGGATAGATTCTTGGAGTTTATAACCACGCAGTTCCAGAGCGCAATGAAGCAGCAGACTCTATTGATATAAGTGTCACTCGCGATAACCGTCACCAGTCTTACATCGCCTGTAATGCACCTGTGTGGCTACATCATCTACTTGCTTTATAGGCTCAGCTATAAGGTTTTGGGTGAGGTTTCTTCTTCGTTATCTGTTGATGTCTAATGATATCTCCTATCTTCTCTGTTTTTCCCTTTAGTACTATTTTGGAACTTTCTTTGTACCATTGCACCAGTGTTATAAAAAAAAATAGATATATGTATTGTTAGATGTTAGATTTAGATTTCTTTTATGTTTATTGACTTAAATTTGCATATAAATGTTGACTACTTTATATTTTACAATGTTTTCATATTTTCTACAATGATTAATTAAGAGTTTTGATGGTATTAGTTTGGAATTTGTGGTCTAAGGTTTAAAGTTTGGCGTTTGTGGTTTAGGGTTTAGTAGACTTCAAATGAAATCTATTTGATTTAAAGTATTGTAGACTTCTCATGCAGTCTACTAAATTTTGAGATTGCAACAATTCAATTAATTTTAAATTCTATTTAGTTTATATAGGAATGCTAAAGTATAAACAACAATAATGAAATTATTAATGGTAGACAATAATTAATCTTAAGGATATTTATTCCATTAGATTAGAGTTGTAATTTAGAAATGACATAATATCATTTTATCATATTATTTACAAAATTACCACTGAAACTAAGATAATGATTAGAGATTTTGGTAAAAATCCAATTTATTAAACTAATAAAAAGTTCTCATTCAGTTTTAAATGATTCTGCTAGAGTTGACATATATTATATCATAACAATGATAATAACAATCCGGCTACTCTAACCAGTTCACCAATTAAAAAGAAACTGATTAAATGTAACCAAACCAAAATTTAATTTTTGTATTACACAATCAACATTTACATCTTATTTAATCAAATCATAATACATTAACAACTCTAAATTTGCTTCAAATAAATTTCTGAACCGATTTTAATATCAAATAAACATATGCAGTTATTTGTATTGAATTGATAAAACAAACATTAGTAAACAATAGTACCCACTTTTTAACGCGGGTTGGATCCTAATATTATCTTATAATGCAGTTATTCTCTTTCATAGTCTCAATCTCCTCGTCCCAAATAGGTAAGATTTACATTTATACATATTAAATGTGTGTTCTGTGTTTAAATTTAAATAAAGTAATAGATTCAAACTATATATTTTACGTTTGCTACTATTTTATCTTAAAATTCAATTTTTAAGTTTCTTTCTATTAAAAATATTTTCATATTTTCTTAATGTACACATTTTTTAGATCTGAAAATTAAAAAGTTTCTAATGTAGTAGATTGCTGATGAAATCTGATTACAAGTTAAGGTTACTAGGCTTTATCCGAAGCCTACTAAACTAAAACTTTAAGTAAACTTTATTAGAAGTTTACTAAAATATGAAGATGATAGAAGTGAGCCGTGTAACTTTGTAAGAAGATGATGGCAACAGGAAATGGTGGAGATGGAGCCGAGCAAGAAGGCGACAAGGACAGAAGATGGTGGAGCCAAGATATTGGAGATGCTACCGGCTGAAAGAAGAAGGCGTAGGAGGAGATGTATATACATATTTTTAATAAAAAAAATATCTTTTACTTTATATATATATATACTGATTTATTTTATTTCATAAGCTCTATAAAAATATTATAATATTATTTTATGTTTTTATTTTTAAAATAGCTATGGTTAAAAAGTGACTAAAACGTGGTTATATATAGAGAGAATTAGGAAAATGCTCATAATGGAAGTTCTAATTAGTGGTTTGTCTATGATAGGATATTTGGGGATGAAAACAAACATTTTGTTTGGTTTTGGACGAAAATGGCATTGACAACTGACACACTTTTCTGATGGTTACAGAGAAGTGATAGTCCTATTACCTATACTTACATCATTTTTATCCACATGTTTGCTAAATTTTTTTAAAGGCTAACAATATTATTGAATAATAATATTTTTGAAAATATAATATCAAAATATTTTAATAGATAAAATAATTTAACATTTGATATGATTGAAAATATAAATTATAACTGATTGCAAGATCTCAACATCTCTAAAATCTACAATTTGTTATAAATTCGATATTAAAGGTATTTGTTAACCGTTAACACTACTGTTAACATTCATAAAATTTATTAACAGTTAATGTATCTGTTAATAATCACCATTGTCAATTGTTAACAAAGTTGTTAACGGTTAACAAATAATGTAGATGTTAACAGAGGTTTTAACTGTTAACAAATACATGTTCCAGATGTTAATAGAGGTGTTAATTGTTAAGAAGTATACGTATCAGAGGTATTAACAGAAGTGTTAGATATTTATAAAAATTACATATCTTAATAGAGGTGTTATGTATTAGTTGTTAACAAATAAGTATCATTGAATTTGTATTTTCCAATCACATTGAGTTATTTAAAAATTAAAAGTTATTATTTAAGAATCAAAGTGAACTCAAAATAAAAAAAAATACTTAACATATTTATTTTGCATGTATATTTATTTTACATAGTTAAGAGGGAATGTTTTTAGTGAAAATTAGAAGAAAAAAAACTGACACACCCACATGCATGAAGAAGAGAGAATGAAAGGCATTTTCGTCATAGGAAATTAATCAATTCCATCATAGACAAATCACTAATATAGATCTCATTTGGGGTGTCTCAGTAAATTATCTCTTATATGGCTAGCCATGATCAATCGGTGGGGCAGGTGGCTAATTTAGCCATGATTTTGTCTAGTCAAGAAGACATAGCTATGGATCTTCTCGCTTGAGAATTGTAGGTTTTTCACATAACTACCATTTTGGCTATATAGCCACGATTTTCATAGCAAATATTTTTCGTGGTAATATATAGTCATGATCAATCGATGGCTAAAAAGTGGTTAATTTAGCCATGATTTTTTCTAGTCAAGTAGATATAGTAATGGATTTTTAGTTTGAGAAAGGGCAGTTTTTTCACATAACTACAATTATTGGTCATATAGTCACGATTCGTGGTCATATAGACTGTAGTTATAGCAAATATTTTTAACAGTTAAAACCCCTATCATTTGAGTCCTAATCTTTATAATTTTATTTGAAAAATCAGTTTTCTATGTGTCACGTTCGCGTTAATTATTATGATGGTTAACTATAACAATACCCTTAATGAATCAAAAATATATAATTGACATATTTTGATGAATAAAAATTATTCCTTTTTCTTTTTATATAAGTTTCAATTACACATTTTTCTAAATGACATATAAAAAGGAAAACATTTATAAATTTTTTTAAAAAAATATATTTATATATATTATATGATTTCATAAAAATTTACAAATTAATCTTGAAGTAAAAACTTATCTTTTAAAAAAAAAAATTATATGATATGCAACTTCTTAGAGAACATCACTTTATTTCTATAATTTTATTTTTTTCAAATCAACATATAACAAAATACTTAAAAATAAAAAATACACTTATGCATCTAATATGAAGAAACAAACTAATACAATGAATTAATATAATTAATTCGATTTGGCAGAATTATATTAAAATAGTTGTTATCACAATGTACCCACAAAATGATTACCAATCCAAATACTTATATACAAAGTAAAAATTTAAGTAAAATAATATTATGGTTGAAGCGTAAAAGTAGATATTATCTAATATATAGAAATAATAACTAAGATGAGATATTATATGTTTAAATGTACATCTAATAAAAATAACATAAGATTATTTAAAATAAATCATGCATATTAATTATAAGAAAAATATTAATAAACTGTTATAATATATTTGTTTTGTGATATTAAAGTTCACAAATATATGCAGAACTTGATCTTAATATAATAGTTTATGAAGAAGAAAATAACTTGTCTTACCTGTTCAGCCGCCCCAACTTGTCTTGAGGCAATACCATAAATCTGTAACCATATTCAAATGATATTTAAGTGAAACTATTATAAAGATAACCGATGTTAAGCTAGAAAATATTACAGCTGGCATTATAAACATCACTCCAGGTAAAAGGGCTGTGGCGGCATAAGGAACCTACATCGTTCACAAAAATAAAAACAAAACCAAACTGTCAGCTCAATAAACCAGGAAGGAAATTTCAAACCACTAGCTCAGTAACATTCAGAAGGACTGATTTTAATATTTTCATATTGATTTTATATGTTTTTCTTAAATGAAGTTTAAATTATAGGAAAATTTGTTACTATCGTCAAGGGCTATATATGTGCTTATGCATATATTGAGCAGCTCCTCTAACAAGATCCTAGCTTAAACAGACTCACCCATGGTGACCATGAAACACTGAGAATTAATGCCTGCGCGAGAAACACATTAACCAAATTCATTAGCCATTTTATTTATAGATCTATCTCATGATTGATGTGTAGATTAAATGAAGATAAAAACAAGGTCTAGAATGTTTACGTTGAAGAAATCCATAAGAAGCCCTGTTGATAACACCCTACGTTCTCCAATGGCGGAAACCAATATCCGCAATAAAAAAAGCTAAGGAAACAAATTTCAACAGTACATATAGGTGAATAACATTTGTCAGATTATAAATGATATTTTACGATCGTTACACGTTATTACCTGGGATATTGAGCCAATGATCGAAACCAATAAGGAGAGTTGAGCAAAGTCATTTTTCTTAAACCCAAAACGGGCTTTCAAGAAATACTGTATTAAAAAGAGTTTATAAAAATAAAAGAAAATAAGTTTAATATAAATTAATGGATATCTACTGTAAGAGTGTGGAGATGAGAACCAAGAAAGCTGACTCCATTCCACTTTGTGAGAAGGTAACGAAAAATGTAACGACCAATGCTTGAACGAGTATGGTGCTGTGTTATTAGATATCATATAAATTATTAAGGATTATATATAGAGATTCTTATATATATATATAGATGCCATTATGCAACACTATATATATATAATGTACCTATTCTTCATCAAATGGAGCATATCTTTCAAAGAAGAATACTTATTGTGGAAGACATGTGTCTTAGTTGGTGCAATTTTTAGAATTGGCTCTGCTAACATCCTTTCATCAGCACCACCATCATAGTCATCTTCATCATCATCGTGTAATCTCTCTTTTAGGAAAATTCTCATGTACACAAGGCCAACGAACAATGATAAAGCGGTAACCTAAACAATATAATGAGTCTATAAGATTAAATCATTGTTCGAGGCTGTCTCTCTTTCGATATATCATTGTTATACATTTATTTCGATACCTGAAAAGTCGAAGCTGTGGGTAGAAAACGAGCTGCAAATGTTGCACAAACTGCGGAAATTGATTTGACACCTGCTAAAACTCCAAACATTGATATTCTCTGTGTTCCATAAATATTTTTTGCCTGAAAAAAAAGGGAAAAAAATTAATGAGACAAAAATATCATATAATAAGATCATAGCGAAATAAAAAAAATATATATATATATATATACCACATAAGCCTGAGCGAGACAGTCAACGGTGCCTTGGCAGACCATATCGAATAGAATCTTGATCACATAATATGCGTAAAAAAATAACGTATCCCTTCTATACCCTAATATTGCTGCAAAATGTTACTACATTTTAGGAACATGTGTAAATAAAAAAAAAAAGAGGAACAAAAGATTAGCCAAAAATTAGCAAATTATTTTTTTCAATATATATCTCAGATCTCATGTCATTTATATATGTGTTTGCCGATTTTCACGAGTTTTGTCCTTGTATTTGATTTCAAAACCTGACAAAAAATAGCATGAACTTTCCAGAAATAAATATAGGAAAAATGTAAACAAATCAGACGATTTTGTTGTTTTTAATCTTTTTTTATTAAGAACTACCAATCGGACAATGGTTGAGTGGTTAGCAAAACGAGATAGACGTGCTTAAGGATATCCATTTTTTTTAAAGTTAAGTATATTGTCTAATCGTGTGAATAGATGTCCACAATGAACGAATCTCATTTTTTATGTATAGGTGCATTATTATTATTAACGAATGCATATGGGATTATTGAAATTAGGATATTAAAGATACAAACTGATTTTTACCACCTAATCTGACAAAATTTTAATGTTTTTGTTTATAATTGTATGGGTGCACATGCCCTACACATTGACTACTTTTTGCTAGTATAAAAAAAGCCGCTGTGTTGCAGTTTGTGGTTTACAGAGTAATAAAACCGCGTTAATAAAAACAATGCACAAACGAATTTAAAAGATTATAGTACTTATTTTTGGAGGCTGTGAAAAGTCTAAGAGCAATATTATCTTGGTCCCTAAATTGAATCCTTAACAAAGTTTCTTAGCTTTTAATGCTAAAGGACATCCCGTAAAGTCATTTATTTAAGAGACTTTACAGAATATCCCTTAATGTTTTTAATTAAAAATTAAAGAATTTTCTGTTAAGAGACTCAACTTATGAACCACTAATAATATTGCTCTAAGGCCAGCCAACTTGTATATTTTTACCCCAATATTCAATGAAGAAACGATTTTTCATGAAGAGACTATCAAAGCAAGTTGAGAAATTATATTGCCTCTTGTCTTTTTCACAATAATAATGCTCTAAGGCTAATTTTTGGACAATAGTCAATATTATTGATGTCTATAAGATTCCTCGATTTCAAATTATATACTATTAAAATCTTTTCGTAGAAATGAAGAAAATAGTTAAATGTACAACATTGTGCTAAACTGTTAAAATTGCATAGTATTTATCATTTTAGTTTAGTTATGATTAAATGAAAAACTGCACTAAAAGTATAAAACAACATATATTTTATGATAGTTTTTTTATCCCGAGCGAAACTTGATCTGAAACAAATTAAGTTAGTAACCAATGACGGCTAGTCCGTGCTTAAAGCTTAGGATTAATTGTGTAAATGCAATTTTATATGAGTGTTTGAAACTATAATTCAAAGCTTAAGTTTAGCTCGGTTTAGAGAGAAAAAAGGAACCTGGAGGAATTATAGAGAGGCACATGGGAAGAGTGAGCAATGCCTTGATTCCATACCTGTCGGCAAGATTCCCGATTACCGGCATCATTACCATTGTCCCAAGTCCTACTGTCTTTTTACCATTTCCACCATTGCCATAACAAAAGTTACATTAATTAATTTCTTTAGAATTTCTTTATTATTGTAATTCTTATAAAACTTGAATACGTTCATGAGTTTTTGAAGCATTCTTCTGACAAAACATTAAGGATCACTATCCAGAAAAAAAGGAAGAGATTGAAGATTAGAAACAATGACAGTGAACAGGTGATTTACCACTTGTTGTAGTCCGGTGAGGTAAACAGCAAGAGAGCATGAATCCTTTAATCCGGAGCAAACCGCAGCGACGGTGACGTCAGTCATGACCGGCCTTACCAAGAATCCAGCGAATGATGACAGAAAAACCGTTGTCAACATGTGTCCTATCCCTCCAAGCCTCTCTTCCATCTCTCTAATCTTTCCTCTCTCTTCTTAGTTCTCTAATCTTTCCTCTCCCTCTCCCTAGTTCTACCTACATATATTAACTTGCAGAAATGTATATCTTATGTTAAATATCCACGTGCAAATATATATACATGAAGTTTTACTTTCTTTAAATAGTTTAATAATCCTTGAAAAAACATTTATAATTAAGCCGTCTCTGTCTCCCTGGCCGATGGTGGTGACTTTTTTTCAAGATCATTGCTAATTGGGGCTTAAATATTATTAAGTCAGGATCATTGCTAACAATTACCCTCGATCTACCCTTGAATATTACTTAAATTGCCATTGAACTTATTTTTAAAAAATTAATCTAATTCTAACTGCATATAACTAATCTATATATTTTGTAACCTTCACTTTAATCCCAAAACTGTCGTCATCCACTTCTCTCTAATATATAGTCGACAGTTATATTTATTAATAATTATGTAACTATAACTTCTTATATAACCGGACCATGTTAATTATTTTCTATTATATTTAATTGACAGTATTAACATGCTATTAATAATTAATATGCTATTATATCGGATATTGTTGACTTTATATAATCATATGATCGTCGATAAAATTTATCATATTTCAAAAGAGTTTCCAAATTTTTTTTATCATATTTAATCTATTTAGCAGAATATAAAATCATGCACAAGTTCAAAATTTATCACTGTCAACAAGATTTAACTTAAACAAAAACAAAAACAAAAAATTGAAAGATTTTACATGCATCTCCTCATTTTGTAAAGTATATCTTATTAAAGTTTCAAACTAGAGCTTGACCCGCACATCCGTGCGGGTTTATTTTTACATTTTTGCAAATATATATATTTATTTTATATATAATAATATATAATTTTAAAATATATATGTATTAAATTATTGTTTAATATGACATTTTAAGCATTAATGATAACTGAAATCAGTATTTAAAAAGGTTAATATATGTTATTAAATGGTCCAACGTGATTGAATATGTAAATTATAGTTATTATGCACTTCTAATATTTTCATATTTAAACTTCTATATTTTTAGAAAAAAAAATCAGTAGCATAAACTGTTATATGAGAAAATCTAGGGAATATCCAAAAATGATTTTGTTTTTAAAATTAAGAAACAATATAAGAAATGTATTAAATTAACTGAAAAAGACAACATTACTAAAAATTAGGATTATTAATAAATACAATGGCATTGTTGTGTAAATAACTTGAAAAACTAAGGGACATATTTTATTGGTACTTCTGTTTTAATAATATAGATGATGTAATCTATATATCTTATTAAAGTTTCAAATGATATTATAACTAATCAGAAACATCTACTAAATATATATTTTACAACAAGGTTTATTAGTTTAACCGCTGGTCTAGATCGAGTATGAAAATAATGCTTATATCTAATTCGTTTATAAATCATATATATACTCCACTAAAAAGAATTAATGTGGGAAATAGCTAACATTACAAATTTAATATAATTATCAAAATCTCTAATAATTTTAAAAACAAAAATATGATAACAAAGAAAAATACATATATGGAATTTTTTTTTCTAAAATGTAAAACAAAAAATATACGCGTCCTTTCAAGGACTGGTCAAAATCTAGTTTTGTTTTTAAAAATAATTATAGAGACAACTGATATAAACAAAAAAAATACAAAAGAAGAATGCCAAAATCTTAAACTGACACGTTTAAGACCAGTCCAAAGCCAAAAAGTAACCGGAAGAGGACAAAAGAGAAATGCCGAATCTGTACGGAGGAGCTACTTCCACCAAGCAGAAACCACCATGCTTGACTTATAAATAACCATAGACGGCCACAATACAAACCCCTTTGGTATCAATGATAAACACCGATCAGCTTACTAAATGACATAACGAAGGGCCTTCCTTTTTACTCGCTATCCATCTCCCATGGATTGTGTTTTCAGAGTAGAGAAAATACACCTTAGTCTCTTATATTCAACATGAGGAAAATTTGTATGACTGCATAACTGGCAACATAGCAAGACTGACCATGGGATTTAGGAGTTTATAAACGATTTCTTAAAGATTTCAACTAAATTCTTTTCGCAAATTTAGGACTCTAAAATATTTTTCTGGAAGTTTATGTCTATAAAATTTTCTTCAAAAAATTTAGGGACCTAAAAACAATATTTCATCCGACTGACCCATGACCGACCTTGTGATGGTAGGCGTTTCCTGAAAAGTGTATCTTGGTTAAGGATGTTTTTGGGACCACTTCTTGAGGAAAAACCTATATTGCCAGTTATGCAGTCATACAAGTTGAATTCAAAAGACTAAGGTGTGTTTTCTCTAGTCTGAAAACATAACCCTTGGGAGATGGACATTGACTAAAAAGGATAAAACTCCATTTTATAGTAAGTATATATATGACTGCATAACTGGAAAAAAGTGTCACAAAAACATTCGAAAAAAAAGAAAAGTGAAGATACCCTAAAAATATCCTCTGGCAGCAAAAGAGTATAGAGACTCCATCTTGCTTCTCTAGACTAGAAATGGAGAAATAATATCCTCTTGATAATATGGTGTTAGTTAGGCTTGGGCGTTCGGGTTTTTGGGTTGGATTCGGGTTGGATTCGAGTTGGTTCCATTCGGACCCGTGTCTTTCGGATTCTAAAGTTTTAGACCCAGTAGGTACTTGTAAATCTTTGGTTCGAGTTCAGATTAGTTTTTCTCAGGCCTGGATCGGTTCGGGTATATAATTGAAATACGTGTAATATTTGGGTCATTTTGTGTTCGGATCGGGTTCGGGTATTTAGGATATGAAAAGGACACGAAATACCCAAATTCCGTCAAAGTTTAGTCATGATATGTCATTTATATCTATATTTTTACAAATAACTTAAAATAAACTACTAATAACTAAAATATAAAAAAAATTAAACTTTAAATTTTACATTTCAAAATTCATATTACTTGAAAATATTATGAAAATAATAACAAAGATTGTTAACAAAAAGATATGACAACTAAATCATAAAATGAATATAGAAAATAAAACACAAAACATCCTAATTTTGGATATTCATGTTATTAAATCCGGTATGAATCGGTTCTTAACGGGTCGGGTCTATTCGGGTTGATTCTTTTTGGATCCAAGTCTATCTGCGTCAGTTTTTTCTGGGTCCGGTTCTTTTGGGTAAAAGAATTATGGACCCAACAGATATTTGTAAATTACTGGTTCGATTACGGGTCGAATATTTTTGGATCGGTTCCAGTTTTCGGGTCCAGGGTAAAATGCCGAGATATAGGGGGTGATTGGTTGAACTGTAGATTTAAAATTTTAACTGTAGAACTTAGACTGTAGATGTTTTTGATGTAGTTGTATCTAATGTAGCTGTAGAAATTAAATGAAAAAAAATTATAAAAGAAAAGATATTCCTACAACAATCCTACAACAATATTTTTTTGCTTTAGAAAATAAGGTTCCTACAACTATCTTTCCATTTTTTTGACTTTAGCTTTAAAAATTACTTAAAGCATGATTGGTGATTTAAATGGTTGTAGATAGAAATTAAAGCTAAAGTCATTACTTACAACCCAACCAATCACCCTCATAGTGTTAGTACCTTATGGAAAACTAAAAGCATAGACAATAAATTGTTGTAATAGAAAAAAGATGCAGCATATATGACTGAAACAAAAAATGAAGAGGACGAGAGAAGAAAAAAGGCACAAAAGAAGAAGACTGAACAGTAGAGCAGTAGTTTAGAGGATGGTAAGGAAAGGCACGAAAGAAGAAGACTGAACAGTAGAGCAGAAGGAATTCATGAATAAACAAGAGGACGAAAATGTGTTTTAGAAAAATTATTTGCAGCTGAATAAAGAGAAAAAATAGAATTGGTTTTAGGTAGTTTATATATTTATAATAATAAAATATAAAAAGAAAATCAAAAGAGATCTTTACAATAGGATTATTAATCAAAGTCGTAATCCCCCAATTTGTAGTATTAATTAAAGTCATATTGAGAAAACCTTCATTAAATCTGGGTGGCATTATTCAAAATTTGACAAAAACATAAACTAATTATGATCTTAATCTTGTTAACTGTAATTAAGAAGATTTGAAACAAATTAAAAACCGAGAAAAAAAATCTAGTCTTCGGTATGCTATACCAACTTATAGAAGAAATATTATCTTACATATCACAAGAGGATCTTTGTAATTAAAAGTGCTATAGATTCCTGACTGGATTAGGGTGTCTGATAAATCCCCACAAAAGGTTTTTTTTTTTTTTGGTAGGATGCAGGGGAAAACGATCCCCTACTTTTATTCATGAATCAAAAACAAACTACAGACAAATCTGCCGAGGTCTCGCAACCGCGTTCAAATCATCCGACAAAATCTGAGCAACATGCTCTGGAACAGCCTCAAAGTAATGCAAACCAAATTGTAAAGAAAACGCATAACCCATCTGCTAGACAATTAGCCTCCCTATACACATGAGAAAACTTGACTATCCAGTCTCTTGATGTAAAGCCATAGCACAGACGTACTAGGAAAGACAGGGGATGAGAATCATGAATCCCTGTCTTAAGAAACCCCACCACACTTTCCGAATCGACCTCCACTTCCAGCCTTCGAATACCATTAGCCCATGCTATATACAGGCCATAGTATACACCCCACAACTCAGCCAATGGAGCCGAACAAATACCGAGTGCAAAACCCCTATCCATCTTCCATATTCATCCCGTAGCGCTCCACCTGCCGTAGCTAGACCCGGGTTACCTCTAGAAGCTCCATCACTATTGAGTTTGATCCACCCGTTCTCTGGTCTATACCAGAGGACTTGCCTCTCCACGCGAACACCAATAACTGGGTGCTCTCGAAGTTTCTTATTCGCTTGTATCACCTCCTGCGCTTTATCTTTAACAAATCTCACTCTGTCTCTGCACTTCCCTATTTCCCCAAAGACGTACCCGCACCTCCATTTCCAGCACCACCACACTGTCAACGCGAAGAGGGAGGCCCATTGATCACCGTTAGCGGTCGTATCGTTTGCAAGGTTCTCATATAGCC